GAAATATAAAACAATAAAATTATCACGACGTTTCGACTGCAACACAAGCAATCATCATCAGGTGTGAAAACCACAGCAAGAAAATTTGAAAAAAGTGGCGTTTTTTTAACGTTAGTACCACGGACAGCGATTTTGGCAGCTGTTCGGATAAACGAGTCCATCTATGTTCGGAAAAGAGGGGGGAGAGGAAAATAATGGAATGCGGTCTGAAAGTCACCATAAGCGTGAACACAATCAATTAAGACCCGAAATGGTTTATCAAATCCTTCCAATGATTGCTAAGCCAGAATCCATCTTCTCTTTTGAAATTGTCTCTGTGTTTATATATATGGATAGCCTTATGAACGAATCTCTCATGGTAGCCAGATGGCTTGCAGAGAACCTCTGTCTTGGAGAAGTCAATGTCATGTGAGCCCACTGAATGATAACAGTGATCTGCCATGGCCGAGGTGTTGGTCCTACCGTGTTTTAGGTCTGCTTTGTGTTCACGGATACGGTCCAATACATGTTGTTTGGTTTCACCAATGTAACTACTACCACAGAGGCAACTCAGTTTGTAGAAGCCAGGGTACTGTATGTCCGGAATCACATCTTTTACAGATGGAACCAGATCACGGATTTTATGTAATGTGTTGAATCGGACCTGGATCTTGTGCTTATTCAAGATTTTGGAGATATTTTTGTGATCCCCGTAATGTAAGGTAAGGTGATGGTTTTGAAATGCTCCTCAAGAGGGTCCTTCTTCATGGTTGGAGTGATGGCTTTGTGGATTGTGTAGTCGGAGTAACCATTAGCCTTAAGAGCATGGTGTATGCGCTTGAGTTCACTAGCAATGTGTTCCTGGTCGGAGATGCATTGGGCTCTATGGTGCAGAGTCTTGATGAGGGAATTCTTCTGGGATGGATGGTGGTGGGAATCCGGTTTTAGGTAAGCATCCGTATGGGTAGCTTTCCTGTAGACGGAGTGGCTCAGTAAACCATCAGGTCTATTTTTTATTAGGACATCAAAAAAAGGTAGCTTGACATCTTTTATATTTTTATTATTTTATTGTTTCCCTTCTACGTGACCAAGAATATGAATCCCTGCAGTCACGAAAGCTTTAACGCAAAATTTAATGTAGTAGTTACATTTTAATGTACAATTTTATTGAGGGACTGTGTTATCTTGGTGTGGTCTGGGACTGTTTCTGCTGTTGTTTTCCTGCTTTTCCCAAACTTAAGAATTGATGTACGAATGCAATTTTAACTTACTTGACTTATTTAAGGGATACCAGGGTGATGTGATGTTATAATAATGCTAATTTGTAATGCGCCCAATTTTCACTTGCCCGATGGCAGAGACCCTCAGGCGTGGACCCCGTTCAGAGATCCGTTTAGTAAAAGTAAAATAAAGATGTTGTTTGAGAAGGCGGTTAAAGGTAGATAAATAGTCAGTACTGTGAATATGGAGGAGGTTGGCGTTCTAGGTGGAGGTGCCGACAAAAGAAAAATGACGCGTGGCGATCGTGGTCCTGACTCTCAGTGTCGAGTGTAACTCCTGGAGAGAGCTGCGGAGAGTACTGAAGGTGGTTTGGGAGCAGGGCGTCAGGAGGTCCGAAAGGTATGGAAGGCAACCGGTTCTGTAGGCAGTGTAACAGAGGCAGGCGATTTGAAGGTGATTCTGATGGGGATTGGGAGCCATTCGAGGGCCCAGAGAGTGAAGTCGGAGGTCAGACGCGGTTTGTGGGAGGTGGGGACAGTGCGTGTGAGGTGGTTTTGTAGACGTTGAAGTTTATTCGGGTTGTTTTGTGAGGACCGTGTGATTACCAAGTTGCAGTAGTCTATGCATCAACCTGTTAATGCTGCATGCTTGCGTGTTTGAGATATCTGTAGTGATGAATAGGCAAAGATGATGAAAGGCTCTAAGGTGGTAGTTACAGTTTCTGATGACCAGATTGGTGTGAGTATTGAATGACAAGATGAAATCCATGGTGACACCTTGAAATTTTAGATAAGTGAATTTAACAGCAGACCCAGCGATTAGGATGGTTGTAGGTGGTGAAAGATAGGTTAGCTTTTGTCTGGTACCAATGAGGATGGCTTCAGATTTGGAAGGGTTCAATGAGATACTATGATATCCAGTGCTGGAGTTTGAAAGAGCAGTCAGAAAGGCGTGCAAGTCCAGGTATCAGATGGGGTGAAGGGGGAAAAAGAGTGTCGTCGACGTATGAGTAATGGTGAATTCCGAAGCTATCAATGAGTCGTCCGATCGGTGATGTGTATGCAGAGAATAGTCGCGGTCTCTGAGGGACGCTGCAGCCTGTCGTGAATTAAGGGCATGAATAGTTGCCAAATATAATGGTGCAATACCTTTCGGAGATGAAAGATTGTATCCAGATGAGTACTGTACCAGTAATGCCGAAATTGAAGGAACGATCATCGATGAGGGTGTTGTGGTTTATGGTGTCCAAAACAGACGAGATGTCAAGGGTAATGATGGTGACTATGGAACCAGTCAATGATATGCAGAGCGCAGTTGAGGATGCAAGTGAGGACGGTCTCAGCAGAGTATGTTTTGCACTAAGCTGATTAATGAGGAAAGAAATTTGGAGATGAGGTGATGTGGGGTTTAGCTGTGCGAGCGTAAAGCGCTCGAACAGCTCAGAGGAAGTAGACAGATAGGTGATGGAATGATAGTTTGATGGCTCTTCATAGTTTAGGTGAGGGTTATTTTATAATGGGAGTTATTTGCCAAGTCTCAAAAGAGGATAGGAAACAATCGGTAGAGAAGCATTTGTGATAGTCGATACGAGTGTAAATCTTGACTTAAAGCTTTCATGACTGCAGAAAATAACCCCCTTTTCCTAAAGACGATCGTTTGTATTGCGATCGCAACGTCGTAGTTTTTTTGTTATTTTTTGTTATTTTCTTTGAACCTATCTACGTGACTTTACCGAAAGACCCAAGAAAATGTACGAGTGTGATTTTAAAGTTGCAGTGCAGAATAAGTAAACTTGGGAAAGTATCCAGAGGTGAGGATTTAATGTGAAGTGAGCAAAGTTGGCAGCCACCTGGCCAGGGGACACTGGTGTGACAGTAGACAGGAGTACAGTTGGAGGGGTGCTACAAGGGGCAGGTAGGGAAGGAGGGTGGGGGTGAAGAATGAGGGATAATTTGATGGTGTCCGCTATGGTAGTGAGCTTATTGGTGAGGTGCGTGTGAAATGCGAAAACGAAAGACCAGGTATGCATGTTGAGTAACGGTGATGGCGAGGCTTTTTTGGCCAGGGTGGAGGTCATTCATCATTTTCCAGATGTTCTTTTGATTTCCTGAAGCCAAGTGAATCCGTTCAGATACATATGTGGCGCAAGTGGCAAGGTTGAGTTTATTTGCTGCTCTGCAGGCAGTGTTATAAACGACTTGATAGGATGCCAAACCGCTGCGCACTAAGATGCGCTCACAGCATCTCCTGTGATGGTTTACCAAAGTTGGCATATGTCGACAGCAAACGCAAGTCATGAGATGATGATCCAACTGACCTAAATTTAAGTGGTGCAAATTTGTCCAGAGCTTCCCCGAGGTCTTTTTCTGCTTGGTTGGCACAGATGTTTGGGTCAGAAGGCGATCCAATAGATTGGATGTTTGCGAGTGAGAGCCTAAGGGTGCGGTAGTCAACGTCCTTCAGGTTACGAGTAATGCAGGATGATTTTGCAGCAGGTGGCTTGGGTGAGTGGAGATGTGTGAGGATGAGGTGGTGAACCGAGAAGATGACCTTGGTTTGGCTCGTCGTGGAGATGTGACAGTCCGAGTCAGGTTCATATATTAGGTCCAGCATGCTCTCAATACCAGTGGGAGAGGTTCGGGTGGGGCTGGAGTTTACAACTGCCAGGTTGTGGCAAATGAATAGGTCAGCCAAGCGTTGATCAATGCAATGTTGGGAAGGACAGGGGCAGTTAAAATAACCAACGAGTATGAACCTGTGAGGTGATCTGGGTAGGAAATATATGAGATCTGACAGCTCACTAAGGAACACAGGGATGCTTCCTACTGGGGGACGGAAGATAAGTATGAGAAAAAACCAGAGTTTCTATTGATGAGGGACAGTGACTGAAATACATAGGTGGATGAAACAATCAATAATTTGTGAGGTTTGATGAAAATATGAGAAAATACGACAGCCAGGCCCCCACCTCGGCGATCCGTTGCGTCAGGGACGTGAAAGATGCTGTAACCGGGGGGTGAAACTTCTGCAGTGATAGTAGGAGGGAGGAATGGTCTGGACCAGGTCTCGGTGATGAGGAGCAGATCAATTTGGTGATCTTGGGTGATATCGTGGATAAGGACAGATTTATTGGTGATTGAGTGGGAATTTAGGAGGCCAAAGCAAATGAAGGATGAGGTAGGTGAATTCATGTGTGATGGAACCTTGGTCCAGATTTCTTTGTGGCGAGTGGAAAGTTTTGCCGGGAAGCAAAGCTCCTGCCACCCCTGCAGCCAAGGGACCGACAACGGCGACGATGACCACAAAGGAGGCCGAGGTTGGCGAGCTTGGAGATGAGGCTGGTGTCGGTGTGGAGATGGTGCAGAGTTGTGGCCTGATGGAGGTCGAAGCAAGAGAAGCAGGCAGGACCTGGGTTGGGTGAACACCAACCAACAGTATGGCCGGTGGAGGTTGCGGTGGACGACAAAATAATTACGGCGGCAACAGCATGGCGCCCAATGCCGTAGTCCAGTGGGTTCGGCGGACAGTGCAGTCCAGACACTCGTGCACATCCAGGGAAGGCAAGCAGCTGGGCACCAACTTGGTGCAGTCTGATGGTGCACGCCATCAGCACACGTCCCCATATTCATGGAGGACATGTACACATATACGTCAACATTTTTTGAGCGTTACACCCGCAGGCACCTACGATGGAGTGCCCCGATGAACATGAGGTCCAGTGAAGGAGCAGACCACACGCTGTGCTGCAGCTCGGAGGTGGCGTAGAGCGGTGGATGAACCTGCGCCGAACTCCTACTTACTGGTGGTGCTGGGCGGGAGATGAGCCACGTCGAGCTTCCGCTGGTTGGTGTTGAGCGGTGGACGAGCCATATACAGCTCCCATTCATTGGCGGTGCAGAGTGGGGGACGAACCGCATTCAGTGGTGGCATTGAGCAGTGGACGAGCCACATCCAGCTCCCACTCGCTGGTGGTGCTGAGCGGGGGACGAACCACATCCACCTTCCACTCGCTGGTGGTGCTGAGCAGGGGACGAACCACATCAAGATCTCACTTGTTAATAGTGCTGAGCAAGGGACGAGCCGGGCAGAGCTCCCACTCACTGATGGTGTTGAGCGGGGGACGAACCGTGTCGAGCTCCCACCGGGCTTTCTCTGTGTTTAAAGTCTTCCTCTATGGGGATGGTTTCGACCAGGTCACCATTGACGTGCTCCCACTGGCGCTGGTAGCACCAGCCTTGGTAGTGGGGCACAGTAGACTTGCCGAGCTCACCCTGGCAGCACCAGCCTCGGTTGTGGGGCGCAGCAGACTTGCGATACATGTTATGTTCCTAGCCTGGCATGCAGGATGTGGGGTTCGATCCCGACCCTGACGCCGATATAATTAGAGTTTGCATAATTTCCCCGTGATCATGTGGATATTTTTTCTGGGTCCTCCGTTTTTTCCCTCCACATTTCGAAACATGCGTCTAAACTATGTTGCTTCTTTGGACATGATAAGCCACTTCATTGAGCTATAATGTGCGCTCCTATCGTGTTTTGTATTGTTTGTTGTTGTAACGTTCTGACTCCCTTACTGGACATCTGTGAAAGAGCACTTTATAGCTCATCGGATTCCTTCGGTATAAATAAATATTCTGATTCTGAAGCAGTTAAGAATGTGTATCTGACATGAAACAGTCTCCAACATATCGGAAATGATTAAGATGTCTAATTTCAAATAATTGCTTTTACATTTTAAACAACCTTTGGATGTGTCCTCGCATTTGACATAACAATCATAATTTCGTGTTATAAAGCATCATCCATGTCAATTTCAACTCACAATGCTGTACTAAAATTATATACAAGGGCTAAATCCTATTTTAACAATTATTAAATGAACAAATGGCATACAAACTAAAGGTATAAACAACAAGTTTTCACAAGAACTCAAAAAAGTTATTAAAACAGAGCAATTAGTCCACCATGTGAGATCCCACCTAGCTGCATTACCATGCAGACCTATTGTTTTCAATATTAACAGCTCTATTTACTACAACTGGTTGAATTAAACATTTACATTCAGCCTACTGTTGGCAACCCGTGACGCCGAATGAGACAATCTACTGTTTAACTTTCGGAATGACTTCGAAAACTGCAAATATGAATATCTCCCTCAACCTATTTTTTAAGGCAACAATTCAGACAAAATGGGATATTGCACTCTTCCCTTCTTCTTCATTATCATAGTGCCAGCATTATTGTATGACCATAACTAGTGCAACTATTCAAATTACCATGAACACTATTTGGCAGCTTGTGAAAGTATTCATATTATGCTTTAAAAGTGTATGAATGCAATTCTTGTAGGATATGCACCACGTAACATCCAGCTTTTTAAAGCTGTAATCCTTGAAGTTATGGAATCCGCTGTTAAACTGAACCAATTCATCAACCACATCAATTCCATCCACCCAGCCATCAAATTCGCCATGGAGGTTGAAAAGGATGGCAAGTTACCATTCTTGGATGCTTTAATTGAAAAGAGACCAGATGGCTCAATGGGACACTGTCTACAGGAAAACCACCCATTCGGATGCCTACCTAAAAACTGACTCCCACCACCATCCATCCCAGAAGAATTCCCTCATTAAAACGCTACACCATAGAGCTCGATGTATTTCCAACCGTCATCACCTAGCCTGTGAAGTGGAACACGTACAACAAGCTCTCAAGATGAATGGATATTCAGTCCACACAATCCGTAAAGCTATCACCCCAACCGTTGGGAAAGAACCATCTGAGGACCCAATCAAAACCATGACCTTGCCATACATAGCAGGGGTCACAAAAAAGATTTCCAAAATCATGAGCAAACACAAAATCCAGGTTCGATTTAACGCAGTACATAAAATTTGTGATCCGAGAGCTCACTAAGACGAAGGCACTCTGCAAACCCACCGGTATCAGAAATGTGTTCATGAAGCCATTCAGATATATAAACACAGACACAGCTTCAACCGAGAAGATGGGTACAAACTGAGCAATCATTGGAAGGACGTTATTAACCAGATAGTATTAACTGACTGTGATGTTTCCATCCTATCTGCTGATATCAGCAGTTATTTCCAACTCTCTGAGTACATCACCAGGTTAAATGTCTTTACAATAACGGGCTAAGTGTCTCACTAACAGAGCTACTGTTGCCCCCTTTCCCTCGATGTGGCAGGAGCTCTCGTTTTTTTAACAGACTATAACTGGCTGTGATGTTTCTGTGTCTCTCTGTTTGTTTGTCTCTCTGTGTCTTTCTCTCTGTATGTGTCTCTATGTGTGTCTCTCTCTGCGTGTCTCTGTGTGTGTCTCTCTCTGTGTGGGGGTTGTCTCTGTGTGTGTCTCTCTCTCTCTCTGTGTCTCTCTGTGTGTTTATTTATGTGTCTCTCTCTCTCTGTGTATAACTCCATGTGTGCCTCTCTATGTGTTTGTCTCTCTCTCACTGCGTGTCTCTGTGTGTGTGTCTCTCTCTGTGTGAGGATTGTCTCTCTGTGTTGTGTCTCTCTGTGTCTCTCTCTCTGTATGTGTCTCTATGTGTGTCTCTCTCTCTCTGCATGTCTCTGTGTGTGTGTGTCTCTCTCTGTGTGGGGGTTGTCTTTCTATGTATCTCTGTGTGTATCTCTCCATGTGTGTCTCTCTATGTGTTTGTGTCTCTCTCTTTGTGTGTCTCTCTGTGTGGGTCTCTCTCTCTGTGTGAGGATTGTCTCTCTGCGTGTGTCTCTCTCTCTCTGTATCTCTCTGGGTGTGTGTCTCTCTCTCTCTCTCTGTGTCTCTCTATGTGCATGTGTCTCTCTATGTGTCTCTGTGGTTGTCTCTCTGTGGTTGTCCCTCTGTGTGTCTCTGTGCGTGTCTCTGTGTATGTCTCTCTCTCTATGTGGATGTCTCTCTCTCTCTGTGTGTCTCTCTCTCTCTATGTGTCTCTCTCTCGTTGACATGCTGGTCTCTCCTCATAGTTGCTCTTGCCGTTTTTTTGTTTTTGTTGCCCGGTTCTCTGACATTGACATGCTAATCTTCTCATTGGCACATCCCCCGGTTGCTGGAGTTGTCTCATATTGACATGCTAATCTCTTACATTTACATACAAATTCCATCTCTAGCTCCGCCCACTTACCCTTGGGTTGAGCCCACCTCAAGCTATATAACCTCTTGTTGCAGCAGCTATTTCTCTTTCCTCAGCAGTTCTCCTGCTGTGTTTGTCTCACCTAATGACGATTGCTAGTGTTGCGATCGAAGCTTCGTGATCTAATAATTTTCTATCTATGTGACTTTACCGAAAGAACCAATGAGTATAGATTCCTGCAATCACGAAAGCTTCAAATCAAGATTGATCCCATCAGTGAAGGATGTGATCCCTGATATGCAATACCCCGGCGTCTACAAACTAAGCTGTGTCTGCAGCAGTAGTTACATTGGGGAAACTAAGCCACATGTCTCGGACTGTGTTCGTGAACATAAGGCAGATCTGAAACACGGTAGGACCAATACCTCGGCCGTGGCTGATCCTTGTTTTAACGCTGTGGGCTCACGCAAAATTTATTTCTCTCAGGCGAAGGTATTTTGCAAGCCCACTGGCTATCAACAAAGATTCGTTCATGAAGCCATCCATATATTTCTACACAGACACAATTTCAACCGAGAAGATGGGTACAAACTGAGCAATAATTGGAAGGAAGTTATTAAACAGTTTAAGTCATAACTGGCTGTGATGTTTCCATCCTACCTTCCGATGTTAGTAGTTATTTTAGACTCTCTGGTTTTACATTAACGGTTTAAATGTCTTTACATTAACAGGTTAATGTCTCACTAACACAGCCACCGTTGCTCGTTTTCCTCGATGTGGCGGTGCCTCTGCGATCTTACATTGACATGTTAATCTCTCACAATACAATGGCCACCTCCGAAGCTTCATCGTCGTGGAGGTAGTTCTCCGATCTTACATTTACATGCAAATTTCTCACTTTAACATCACTAGCCCTGCCCACTTCGCTTATGACCCTTGGGCTACACCCATTTCAAACCTGTAAAACATCCTGCCTCAGCAGCTTTCCTGCAATATTTTTTCCCCTGATGATGATTGCTTGTGTTGCGATCGAAACGTCGTGGCTTTTTTGGTATTTTCTTTGAACTTATCTACTGACTTTACCGAAAGGCCCAAGAATAGGCAAATCAACTTTTACCATAGCAAACAGCATGTCCCTACAGCTGCTAAAAACAACATAACATAAGAAGAGTAAAATGTGGATCAGAGCATTGAAACAAGTGACCTAAAATAAATAATGCCTCATTCCCATGTGTCTATCCTCAGAAATATTTCAGGAAGTGCATCCTATAGGCAAAACTGGTTCAGTAAAATAACACATTGGATCGTTTCAACATTCAGGGTCTCATCAGCAGTCGAAACAATGCTGGTGAATTTACAAATATAGGTAAGGACGTTGTTTGTACTTGCTTTTCGCTTCGATGGCTGTTGCATGGTTCCTGGAATCATGATGGCCGGGTCACGGGACTCAGCCAACGCCACCTGGCAGTGGCCTTCCTGTGCATGCAGAGCACACCAAGGGATGGACATAATACTCTTCACACAGCATGGGATGTATACAAAACACTCTACATATGACACGGGGTGGACACAACACACAGCACAAGATGGGCACAACACTTTTCATACAACACGGGAAGAACACAACACTCTTCATACAGCACAGGATGGACAACAATCTTCATACAGTATGGGGTGGACACAACACTCGTCACACAGCACGGGATGAACACAACACTCATCACACAGCACAGGATGGACACAACACTCGTCACACAACACGGGATGAACAACACTATTCACAGCACAGGATGAACACAACACTCATCACACAGCACGAGATGGACACAACACTTCACACAGCACGGGATGGACACAACACTAATCACCACAGCACGGGATGAACACAACACTCATCACAGCACGAGGTAGACACAACACGTATCACACAACACATGATGAACACAACACTTTTCATACATGGGTGTACACAACACTCTTCATACAGTATGGGGTGGATACAACACCCTTCATACAGTATGGAGTGTACACAACGATCTTCATACAGTATGGGGTAGACACAACACGTTTCACACAGCACGTGGTGAACGCAACACTTTTCACACAGCATGGGATGGACACAACACTCTTCACACAGCACGGGATGAACACAACACTCATCACACGGCACAGGATGGACAAAACACTTCATACAGTAGGGGGTGAACGAGACTTTTCACACCGCACGAGATGGACACAACACTTCACACAGCTTGGGATGGACACAACACTCATCACCACAGCACGGGATAGACAAAACACTCTTCATACAGTATGGGGTGGACGCAACATTATTCATACAGCACGGGATGGACACAACACTCTTCATACAGTATGGGGTGAACACAACACTCTTCATACAGCACGGGATGGACACAACACTTCACACAGCACGGGGTGGACACAACACTAATCACCACAGCACGGGATGAACACAACACTCATCACACAGCACGGGGTAAACACAACACGTATCACACAACACGTGATGAACACGACACTTTTCATACATGGGTGTACACAACACTCTTCATAGAGTATGGGGTGGATACAACACCCTTCATACAGTATGGGGTGTACACAACGATCTTCATACAGTATGGGGTAGACACAACACGCTTCACACAGCACGTGGTGAACGCAACACTTTTCACACAGCATGGGATGGACACAACACTTCACACAGCACGGGATGAACACAACACTCATCACACGGCACAGGATGGACAAAACACTTCATACAGTAGGGGGTGAACGAGACTTTTCACACGGCACGAGATGGACACAACACTTCACACAGCTTGGGATGGACACAACACTCATCACCACAGCACGGGATAGACAAAACACTCTTCATAGAGTATGGGGTGGACGCAACATTATTCATAGAGCACGGGATGGACACAACACTCTTCATACAGTATGGGGTGGACACAACACTCTTCATACAGTACGTGGTGGACACTGTTTGTACAGTATGGGGTGTACACAACACCATTCATACAGTATGGGGTGGACACAACACTCTTCACACGGTATGGAGTGGCCACAACACTCTTCATACAGCACGAGGTGGACAACACTCTTCACACAGTTTGGGGTGGACACAACACTCTTCACACAGTATGGGGTGAACACAACACTGTTTGTACAGTGTGTGGTGGACACAACACTCTTCACACAGTATGGGGTGGACACAACACTGTTTGTACAGTATGGGGTGTACACAACACCATTCATACAGTATGGGGTGGACACAACACTCTTCACACGGTATGGAGTGGCCACAAAACTCACCATATGGACTCTTAACACACGAATACACAAACATACTAAGACGCGTATATGTACTGTACATACACACACT